TATGTTTACGACACTTTAGCGGTCGGAACATGGCGGCGTAGGGAGTGATGGTTGGGATCCGATCTGGGTACCTATCATAGAACAAGTCGGAATCAATTCCGATCGGAAATATTCAATTATTCCCTAGATTTCTATTGTGTTTTCTAGGGAAAATGGAATAATTTTCCGATCGGAATCCATTCCGACATATTTCATGATAGGTACCCTGGTGGTGGGGGTTCGATGTCGCTTCTCTCTATATATATAGGACTCTACCATGGAGTATACTCAAAGAGCTCAGACACAAGCTTTTGCATAACGCATAATGCATAATGCATAAGAGAATCAACCAATCGAAATTCTTCTTTTCCATGGAATGGGATGAAAGGAAAGATTCTGATTCGTTTATGCACTATGCATTATGCTTTATGCAAAATTCTGTGTCGCGGCCTTAACGCGACGTGAACATCTAGTCGCCATATTGGCTCCGGTGATGCAAACGTATTGGAGCACATTGGAATAACAGGAGTATATTGGAGCGTGAACAAACCTTAAATAACCACGCGACCGAAGGTTTGTTCACGTCGCACGCTCCAACATGCTCCTACCATAGTTCCTACTTATTCCAACATGATCGTTGAAGTGAATAGGAGCTATGGTAGGAGCATGTTGGAGCACGCGACGCGAACAAACCCTTAGTTGGAGCAGTCAGCTCCACCTATGGCGTTCTATTCAGCATAGAATTCGGTTGTGGGGTGATCCCGATTGATCACGACTCGATTGAACATCACCAATCACAGCGACCGGTGCTTAGGAGCTTTGTAGTCTCAAGCGCTGTGAGTGGCTCGTGTCCAATTGAGCCGTGTCCAACTGGGTGCCACCCGATTCTGTATTTTAAAACGAGGTGAAAATTACAAGTGTAAATTTACTAGAATATTGATAATTTCATTGGTCAATACCTAATAAATTTGCTCACTTTTGTAATTTTCACCTTGATTGAAGATACAGAATCGACCCCCCGGCCGTATCGACCTCCTACTACTATTCGGAGGCGGGAGCCATTAAGTAAAGAAGAAGAGTCTTAAGCCTTGTGTCCACGATGCTAGAAATCGGTCGGAGATCTCGGACCGATTTCTAGCATCGTGGACACAAGGCTTTAGAGCACTTTCACATGTGTTATATTACTTATATTTATTACTTCGTAATAATTACATTAAATTATACATAAAAACACTATTATTTTTTTAGTACGTTTATAAAAGTGTCACGTGGTAAGGAAATTTTTCCTATCATCCTCATTTTTTTCTTTCCTTCTGCTTGCTGCGCCAGTAATTTTTTTCTTCTTGTAACATCACCACCGTACTGGAAAAAAAGTGAACGCAAAATTATTTAAGTAATCCCAAATTTAAAAAGTCTACTCTTATTTTTTTAATATAAGGTATAAAAACATTTACTTACTAATTTCGCTGTTACATCCTTTTTATAAGGCTTCAAAGTTTCTCTTGCAATTACTTTACTCCCTACTGTTGCTTGGATCGCTATTTCGAACAGTTGTCGAGGAATAGTGTCAAGAAGCTTGACACATAACTTCTTGCCTATCTGAGACGCTTTTGTTCTATGTACAATTGTGCACAATTCTTCTACCACTTTTCCATTTAATAAAATATTCAACTAAAATTTATATATTAAAATACATATCATTAAAAAGTTCAATATTGCACAAGAATAATTTATAAGTGGTACTTAAAAATTACCTTCACTATGTCGGCCATTTGATAGCCATAATCTTCGTAATCGAAACTAGCATAACCAGAACTTATATTCTTCAAAGAGTCATGAAAGTCGAGAATTATTTCGCTCAATGGCATCACATATTGCAGAATAAATCTGTCATTGCCAATAGTTTTGTTCAGTTTTTCTATACCTCGCTTTTCCCAGCAAAGTGATATGATTTCTCTCATGTATGTATCTATACATTTTACAAAGCATTGATTAATCTACAAGTATTAAATAAAATAAAAATGAGAAAAAAGTCATCAAATTCCTGATCAAAGTATTCGAAAATATATTTATTTTATCTTTATTGATATATCCTTAAATTCAATTCTGAATGAATTAATTAAACTGTACTTTACTGTGAAATTGCAAATACCTGGCGTAATGATAGTCGCAATAATCATAGGTTCATAAAATTCAGTGACTATTTGGGGGTCTGGAAAATGTACTGGATTATTAAAGATCACTGTATCACCTCGATATTTCGTTATATTTTTACTGCCAAAAATCTTTGCTTTGTAAGTCACTGCAGGTGCTGTAACTATCGGCTGTGCCCCATATTCCTGTTCAAGACGTTGAATAAAGACTTCCATATGCAATAAACCTAAAAAGCCAATTCTCCATCCTCTTCCAAGTGCAGCACTGTAATATGATTTTTTTTCGTCATGTTTTATCAACATGTTTATTATTCGTGTAGTTTACATTCATTTAGGACAGGATTTTATATTATCAACATTTATATAGAAAACAATTTTCATTCATAAAGCTTACAGATGATATAACTTTTACCTTGACTCTAAAGTGGCATTTACAGCACTGTCATTTAGAGCAAGTTTGTCGATAGCTGCTTGTAAAGAGGACAATTGTGACTGATCCATTGGATATACTCCTGCAAACACCATTGGCTTTGGTGGATTGAATCCTTCTAAGGAATCAACAGATTGATGCCGCAGATGCAAAGTATCGCCAATGTGAGCCTCCTTAGACTTCATATTGCATGAAATAGCGCCTACTTGTCCAGCAAATCTACATTATATTAAATAGCACAAATTAAAAATCCATCAGACATATATACAGGGTGACCCATTTTAATTTAACAGCCAAATAACTCGAAACATCGCGATTAAATAAAAAAATGTTTAAAACAAAAATTGTTGGATATGAAGGGGCTGATTGAACTATGACTTGACAATGATCTTGACCTTCATTTTCAAGGTCATTTAAAGGTCAAGGTCATTTTTTAAAATAGGAAGCCCCATTTTTTTTTCGTTGAATATTCTTGTAGCTTATCTCGAGAGCTTTCCAAAACACTATAATAAAATATTTTTTCATTAAGTATTTCTCGAGTTATAAGGCTCGAATGTTACAGTACCGCCGCCGACATTAGCATTACGCAAGGTATCCGACCGATGGCTAAAACCTCTTGAATGTTGTTCAGGATCATATCCTAGATAACAGTCGTTAAGATCAAGGTCATTGGAGATTGTTTCTCTTATTTTCATTTTT